TGTATGATGAGTGGTGTATGATGAGTGGTGTATGATGAGTGGTGTATTGATGAGTGGTGTATGATGAGTGGTGTATTGATGAGTGGGTGAACAGTTCTTGAATGTCCTTTGAAAATAACATCCCTCCGCGCTAGCAGGTTGATTCCAAAAATTATTCCTGGCCTCATTTGATTTCTGGAATGGAATAATTCAATGCAATAATGTCTAAACATAAAATAGATAATCAAATAACCCTGGCACTTTGGTCCAGAACACATTCAACCGGCCAGCTCTCGTCCACGTTGTCTTTGAAATTATCTGAAATCTACAAACGACAGAAAACATAACAACGTCCAGGCCATGCTCAGATTAAGACCCGTATATGCAAAAATCAAGTAATTTCCCAACAAGCGAAAACCTATGAACATATAGTTTTTGCTGCTGTCCATTCCATGCCTCTCATCAGCCACATCATACCGGTAGCATAACATCTACAAAAGCAACATGTTACAAATATGTTTTTCCACGAACCCCCGCCTCCCCTCCAAAATATTGTTCAATTATTCGGCAAAACTATATATTCCTAAAAGCACTATTCAAATTATTCCAGCAACTCACGGTGCCCGCTGGGTAGTTTCAAAAGGCACGGCGTATGACAATCCCTTTTGTCTCACTACAACCAAATTTGTAGGCCATGGTGACTCGAACAACTCTCTCCATAAAAGTGTTGTCCAGTTACCCGTTCCATGGAACACTGGTAAAACACTTGATTCACCCATGCATGCCTTGATTGCCTTGGGTCGGCAATTCGGGCATCCCATATACAACACAGTTTCCAGTGAGGGTGAGTCTTGTAATCATACTTCAAGGCAAGGCTTGATCTCACCATCCGCACCTTGATCTCATACTGACTTACACTCGACCTTTTGACTTCAAGATTATGTCACGTCATAAAAGCACGCACTCAATCCAGCTTCTTAAAGTTTCCTCCCATCCAAAGCAAAGTCCCGACGAGGCAACACGCAAAGCAACGCAAACGGCCTGGAGGGGTGGTAACGCCCACAGCTGAATTGGATTCCAAGTCGAGCCAAGGGCACTTGACCTTCGCGAATATGACTGCGCAGCACAATTGAGATCTTCACACAACCAACGAACAATGCACAACGCGTCGATGGTTCTGCTGAAGCCATATGTGATCAGAGTGCTTTGCGCAGCATAATCAATGCATTCGCCTCATCACATGTGTTCTTTAAAGAGTCCTAAAATAGGCTTGGGGGCGCGTCCTAAATCAACATTAGCTTTCACAAGAAACTTATCTCCCAACTTGCAACATTCAGTGACTCCCATCATAGTTGGTCTCTTTGTCTCACTTGAAGCTGGACTTGTCTTGACAACTGGTATCTTGAAAGTTGGTTGCAGCTGACGTTGTCAAAAAACAAATATATTGTGTTTCTGCTTGACTGCCCAAATGTTCCCAGCAATGTCCAGGCGCGTGTGGGCCCAGCTAGCCAGTGTCGAGACCACTATTAGCGCCAAAGCCGGGAAATGGTTGCAACAAGTTAAGAAGTCAAATTGCGCCCGATTTGCGACGGTTTGAGACAAGCTTGACTTGTACCCAACAAACACAAGTCTTCGCTGTGTCTCGGCCTTTGGAAAGCCAAAGCTACTCGCAATGTCAAAAGGTTTGTCGCTCTCGACTTTTCTAGAAAAGTTGGACTTGACTGGAGTTATTCGAGCAAGGTCTGGCTCCATGGCCTCTTCAGTTGGAAAGCATACCGTTTTTGCAAGTGTTTAGGAAAAGGTGTCCAAGCCTCTTGTTTTCACAAAAGCACAGAAAGGCAAAACTGCAAAGACTATGTGCCCAAGTCTGGCTCCATAGTTTTTAGCGTTGGAAACGTTCAAAACAACCTTCCAACGCATAACAAAAAAACAAAACCTTGCGCAAAGCGGAAAACAAAACTGAAAAGACTATGGAGCCAAACTGGCAGCCAAACCTGGATAGAGGGCACACTCAAATGTTAACCCTATCGTTTGTTCAGTCGATCGACACAGCACCCCCAGAGCAAAAAAATGTGACTTTCCGCCCTCGGGCCCTCAGTACACCCTGAGCATATTGAAAAAAAGAAACGAACGACTGAACAGTTACTAAGAGTGGCTCCCTAGTTCCAGGCCTACATAGCCGACAACACGGGACCAGTCTCTGCAGCCTTGATTTCTGAAAAACAAGTGATTTCTGAAACGTATTTTTGTGATTAAGTACCTATACATATACTGTTTTCTAAGAAAACACGTACATACCTGTAAAAATCTTCCTGCCTTTGGGTGCATTCTTGTAACCTGAAGGTACAATATTCAAAAGGGCCCATCTTCGTTGCACTTGTCGCTGTTGCGATGCAAAACATTTGAGCGCAAATGCGTTTAATCAAAGCGCTCGTATTCCATCCGAAAGCTGCGCCTTGTCTTTTTGTAAGTATATAACTTAACTGGACAAAACAGCCAAAAGATTGGAGGCGAGCAGGCGCATGTAGAGGAAGATGCGTCTTGAGTCTTGAAGCATGTCTGTGTGTGTGCCCGCATCCAAAACACATTTAGCAGGCTAGTGCTGCATTAAAGAACGCAGCCCCAAAACAATGCCTCCCTTTCACGTGATGAAATGTTGGATACATGATGGAGGCCCTCACAAAACACATAGATATTCATGAAGAATGCCGCTCCATGACAACTTCCACATCCTGTACGCTGCACATGTAGCCTTCATTCATACATGGTCTTCCGCAACATCTACGTCTACATATAATCACAAAGGCTGCAACAGCTCAGCCCGTATACCCTCCCACTGTCCGGCAAACCCAAACGGACAGTTTCCATCCAGCGGTCCATTCGGACACACTCCGAATACGGCCCCTCAAGACATTTCCGAAACACTCTGTTGCTAATCGTTGTCCATTCTTCATACGGCCGTCGACGCTTGCCGCACCGAGTTTCTACATAGGGTGGTTTGAGTAGGGTGTATGTTTCGGGAGTATGGTTTGGGGGCATGGTTTGGATGGTTTGCCTCTTGCGCTATACTCTTTGCGTGACTTGGAACAATGATAGTAATGTATGGTTTTGGAGGTTATGGATCGCACAAGTCGAACCTTCCACCTCAAAAACGCATTTGAATTTGATTGCTCTTTGCGCGCTTTATTTTGTATGGCTGGCAAGAGGAACTGCTGGCTGGCTGCTGATTGAGGCCCTTCGCTTTATCGTCTATATAGAAGTTGCCATGGCCACTGTTCAAACACGTGCTAAATTCAATGGTCGCGGTAAGAGGCCACTGCAGACTGTCACATGCACCAAATCTTCCTTTGCCCATACGTCAGTTCTTCCGTGCACAAATTTGTGAGCGTACCCCACCGCCCGTATCAAGCGCCTGTGCCTGTGGACTAGTATGCAAAAACACACAGGCAACCAAAGAAAACATGTGGCTTTTTGTTCCACAAGGCGTAAGGATGTATTGCACAAAGAAGTAGGCAACCATTCCTCCAAAAGCTTGGAAATGCCAGGATTAAATCGACATCTTCCGATTCGGGATCCTGCGTTCTTGCCCATCATATTTGACTTTTGGGAGAAGCTTTGGGCGTGGACTGTCTTTTGAGTTCCCTATTGATTTTAGGCGCCCCTGTAGCGTAGCCTTGGGCAGCCTGAAGAGGCTCTTCGCAACCCTGTTGGCGTTTGACCGCAATAAAGAACCTTCTTGCAACTCTTGGCGCCAACTTGTGTCAAGCAACCACTAGGCCTAGATTTTCTCAGCGCGTACCATTTTGTTCTATCCTTCCATCTTCAAAAAATTGTTAGGAATTTGCCAAGACAGTCCCGCCTTGCACTGGATCTTGGAATGAAACTCCTACTCATACTCCATAGCGCTACGTACCGTATGCTGCTGCTACATGGGTATAAGCAACTCCATGTGGCAACAAACAGAACCACCAAACACGATGTATTTATTGCTTCAAGTCTCCATCTGAACACGCCGCACAATTCTGTCCACATGGCATGCACGTCCGCCCCAGGTCTCCTCGAAACACCACACAGATTAATTCACAAGGTAAGCGAAAAACGCATGAAAGCAGGTTTGATTTACTTGAGAAAACTGATGCAACACCAAGCTCCTACACCATGAGGGTAAGTGCCGACAGGGCAACCATTTTCGCAAGTTCCGCTGGCTGTCAGATATTTTTGGTTGCGGCACTCCGTCCCTGCGGGTGACAAAATGGTGACGCGAACTGGGAAGCTGCTGTTTGAGGCCTATCGTCGCATCAATGCAATTGAAAAAATCTCCGGGGCAAACTTGACAAGTTCGACCTGTCCGGGCTGAAAATCAGACACTGACAAAACACCAACATTCAATGGCCACACTGGCCACAATCTACTGAAAATTCAACAGTGACACGCGATTTCCATGTCTGCCTTGCAAACTGGCTGTCTGAGCTGTGAGTGCACTTTTTCCAAGGGACCTGTTTCGCCATCACCATGGCGGTAGTAGCCACTTGGGCACCCATCCTGCAAACTACACTGGGAGTTGGGAGCCGTTTCCAGAATGCAATTCCGAATCTGAAATATTTCGTGGCAACAAGGTTTTGAGCTGCTTCGGCGTAATGATGCGTAATGGATTTTAAATGAGGCAATGCACGTTCAAACTCTTAAAGTTCGAACTTGACAAAACCGCTGATGGTGGGGCGATGTTGGCTTCAAACAATACAAATGAAGGTTTGTTGCGTTCGCTCCAAACTTGTTCAACGCCTCTGCGAGGTCTTTTGGCATCTAACAGTTGCCAACTTGAGCGGGGAAACACGAAAGGTAGAGACGGACTGGGTAGCTGTCGGGACCTTTTCTTGTGAGGGACTGTCTCCGGTGTTTCAGGAACGTGCCCCTTGGTCAATCATGGATGAAACCAACAAAGCCAGAGAGCACAAGAAGGCTCAAGAGGAACACCGTTGCGGTCAGATTGCGCCAGACGGCTCTGCAGAGAGGCTTGCGTCGACGCTCGTTTGTGTAAAGGTGTGTGAAAACAGGCGCGCGTAAAAGTCGCAATGCGTAAATGCTCGCATGTGTACCAGCTATGGTCCCACAGCTGCACGCACTGTGTCAGGATTACAGGCCTGCACGCGTTGCGTCGAAGCCGCAGTGACCAGCCCCCTTGAAAGGATAGTGCTGGAAGGGTGCGGCCGGTACTGCCAGGGATGGACGTCACGCTATGGTGGGTGTGCTCCACGGTGCGGAAGGATTTCGCCACGCTAGGGTATAAGGCTGAGTCGAATGGTGTTGCGCGACGCGAGGGGTTTCTCCACAGGGCTTTGCAGAGAGGCTGTGTTGCATGTTGCATCGATGCTCGTTGGCGTCGAGCAATATGGTCTGTGAACGCAGCGCGCGCTGTGTCAGGCTGCCGGGCGCGCACACGCGGCATCGAAGCCGCATTGCACGACCTCATTGCGCAGGGTTCGTGCTGTATTGCGCAACCTCATGGCTAAGCGCATGACTTCACCTTATGTCCAGAATGCGGAATGGCCAACAGGGGCCAAGAAAGGTTGGGACTCTCGCTGCATCTCCCGACTGATCAAGAAGATGAGAGAACTCAATCGCACTCTCTTTTGGCGCAGGTTCCACGGCTGTGCCTACGGCCTTTGCTACCGTGGATATCCAATCTTGAAGAGCTGGACAGTGATGACATCTAACAGGGAGATATGGCTGTCCTTTCATCCGGAGCAGATTGAGCGCAGGGGCATTGCAGCGCAGGCCTCTTCTATTGGTGTGATGGGATCTTCTTCCTCACTTCTCCCTGGCGCTTTCTCAGCGCCATCAGCATGCCCTTCACTTGATCATCATCTCCATCTGCTCGTCCTCCATCAGTATGCCTCATGGGTGACGCGCGTGAAGTGTGGCCTGAAACTCCAGTACTGCGCCAAGAAGGCTGGACATGGTCAAACCCGTCAGATGGGACCAGACCCACATCTGATTCGGCTCGCCGCGCAGACCTTGGAGAAGACATTTGAACCCAATGCAACACCCTGCGCCCACGCCAACACTCGTCGCAGTGCGAGATCCGGCTTTCTCGGCGCGCGCCCTCTCAAGGGCCATTTGCAACTGGATGAACAAATCCTCTTCGCGGATCAGCAACTTGTGAACTGCCTCCTGAGGTGATGCCATGCTTCAAGCCTAACTGTCTGGAACTGGGAGTTGTTGCAGCGGTGAGTCTGTAAGGACATTCAACAGTCGAGAAAGGCCATCCTCGTCCTCGTAGTCCTCACAAGGCTTCCATTCCAGGTAGGAACTTCATGATGATTTCCACCGCTTGTCGACATGCCCTGGAGCAACTCGCTCCGCTACCACGCGGTAGCTATGTTAGCTTCAACGGTGCAAGGAACAACAATGCAAGATCAACGTACACGTCTCGCTGTGCCGGTCGCTATCTATCTAACGAAGTCGGCGAATGACCATCAAGCGGCCGTCTAACCTTTTCTCCTCACAAGGCTTGATCCCGCCCATGCCTTCTGCGCGCGAACCTGACCTCATGAACCTTCAGGCAACACTCAATGACATGCGGATGCTCAAGTGGAATCCCGATGCTCTCAGGTTGGAATGGTTTGGCAGGAAATATCAGAGATCAAGATCCCTTCCTTCACTTCCGTTGCTACCTTGGGCCAGCGCGCTTCCTTCCTACTTTCTCCTCTTCTTCATCTTCCATCCGTTCTTTTGCCAATTGTTTCGTCTTCTTTTTGTCCTGCTTGAATAATAGAAGGAAGACGAGAAAAATGGACTCTCATCCGCCAACGCCACCGCCCAGCACCCATGACATCCCCAAATGTTTCAGCATGTAGCAGCATGTAGATATATAGGCATACTGGCATGGCGTCCCGGGCCAACTGAACGTACGTGTGAAAGCCAGAAAGCTCGATGGAAATGAAAGCGGGGCTTGCGGCAAAGAACTTGATGTTCGTGGAGAAGGCGCCGATCGGCTTCATCGGCTTGAACGAACAGTCGCCTGCGGGCACGCCCGCCGACGACGAGGTGTTCTAGCACAACATGGCGATGATCGGCAACCAAACGGCCGTGAAAAGGTTAGTAGCTTTTACCTTGGACGAAGTCACAAACGCTGGCCGGATTCTTTTCATGACAGCTGGCCAGGAAAGGAGAGGCTACAACGAAACCTTGTCAAATCGCAACCGGTCAAACGGGAACTTGTCTGTTGCAGCGGTCGATTTAGCTTTGCAAACAACTAGCTGGACCCAGTTTAGCTGAGCTGTCTCTTATGTCGACGGCGCGCTGAAGAAGCGGAAAGTGTGCAATCTGGTCTTGCCGCAGTCAAAGGAAGCAGTTGAAGGAGACAACTGACAGCTTAGCTGCTGCGTTGCAGTCAACAGAGATTTGTTCGCGGACAAAATGGATGGAAGTTCGGTTTTCCTGCTGGGCTCCAATTCCCACGGATCGAACCTGGGCGCGATGAGCAGTTTTCGCCCGGTGAGTTGTCATCGCAGCAGTCTTGCGGTCTGGTGTGAGATGGCTACTGAAAAAACTTGAACTCAATACTGAGCTCTTGATTCTTGCTGCTGGACTTGTCCACGGTGTTTCTGCAGAGGCAATGAGCGCCTGTCCAAATGCTTGAAGCAAAATGAATCATTGCCACTGCGGCTAGCCAGCGGATTTGTATCGAGCCCATGGGCAGGGGAAGGTTCAAGCAAGCAAACTTGACACCATCATGACACCATCATACTGAATACTGTCCAAGCGTCGCATTTATAGAGGTCTACAAACATCTAGTTCTGACCAACGTCGCTTATCGTCCATGGTTCCTTTTGTTTCTTCGTCAGCACCAAACTTACAGAAAATTGATGAAAGTGAGTTCCAACACGGCCAGTCAAAGAAGAAAACAAGCAAAAACCGTTCACACAAACTAGCAGGTAGATTTGCAGTTTGCATGTTTACTAAATATCTGCGGCACAGGGCTGAGGAATCACATGGCGGATGAGTCATGTTCATGAACAACACCAATCTCAGTCCTCGCACCACCCGTCGGGAACCCTGTACTTCTGGCCCCCGCACCTGAGTGGGTTGGCTCTATGGTTGGCTCCGTTTGGGAAACGGGGGGCGCACAAGAAGAAAAATCAGTGTGCCACCCTCAGGGCGGACTTTGTGGACAATCCTTTCGGCGCCATCATTGTAACATGCAAGGGAAAAAAATGTGAACCCGAATGCAAAAACGCAAACAAACATGAAATATGTCCAATTCGAGCAGCGTGTTTTCCCACGATAAAGAATCTATCACGGACGATGAAGAATCGCTTACAGGAATAATTCCCGGCCAGCACCCAATATATATTCTAACGAGCGGTTGGGATTTTCTACCTGGCTGAGCATTTGGGATCACTGCCACAATTGAACTTGAGATACTCGTAATTTAATGACAAACACCCCAGTCACAGTTGGTGACTGCAAAGAGGTGCGAAGAAACTTTCAAGAACACTTTAACCCTGGCCACGGGACTGCTTGCATTCACCAGCGGTCGCGCACTTCAAGCAGCCGTCGCTGCAGGGGCGGCATGTCCGTCCAATCGCGTTAACGCCGCTAGGATAGTAGCCGTCAGGGCAATCGGACTCCTAAGCTGCGTTGAAAAGGGATCCATGCATCCCACCCGTTGGCAACCACATCATCAGTTGACAAACGTTGAGACGCAACTGCGAACACACTCTACAGTAGGCTGTTTACAGCCAGGGCCATGGGCAGCAAATAAAACATCCTGGCAGTCAGGACACGCAAGTAAATCCTGCCCCGTTGATAGTAAGATACGTGTAGTCCTGGCGCATGGCAAATCAAAGCTGGAGAAAGACACATGTAGATGTACACACAGCCAATGGGTCCAAGCTTGGCTTTATTGAGCAGTGATGAATCATGTGAGCATTGTGAGCATATCATTGGAGCAAGGAAAACTGCAAGCACTTTGGCTATGACTGTCCTTGCACTCGGCACAAGATTTCAGAGAGCTGCACTTGCCGCACGATTGCGAGCACAAGTGACACAGACCTGGACATCTACAGTCAAAGAATGGCAGTTCGCTCGAAGAAATACAATAGTTTCTGAATCTTGCGCCATGATCTGAAGGTCTCAAGCAATTCTTTCATGCTTGGCGCTGAGTCGTCTACCATTCTGTGAGTAGTAGCCATCAGGGCAGGAGTGAACGCACATACTCCTCATCAAACACACCCTGCAAAAGAAGGTAGTCCCGGGATCTTGCCCCAATGGCTTCCCCTTCGCCAAAGCAGCGTGCTAACCACCAAAAGCTTAAGAAAATGCTGCAATTTCACGATCAAGCAGCGACAAAGGAATCGTCTGCCCTCTTTGGCTCAACTTTTGTGTTAAGGAGCGCGCAAAACATGCAGAATGCCAAGGAAAACCCACATCACAGGCAGCAAGAGCTCATACTGATGATTTGAGATGTTCCAAATTGATGTGAATTGCTGCCGTACTTCAAGATCTTCAAGGTTGCAAGTTTTGAATTGAACACTATTGCGTTTATTGGGAAGTCATTTACATCGTACATCGGGAGTCATGTTGCATATAAAGAGTTTGTTGTGTACGGTAAGGCACCTATAGATGCCTTGACGCGTTCAGTTCAAAGTCCGCCGAGAGTCTTGTTGGGAAGCTCACTCACATCCAGGACTGCATCGTTCCTCAACGTCTCTGGCTTGACAAACCCTTTTCCTGAAACTGCTAGAGTGATAGACTTTTGGCCACAGGTCGAGAACATCGGCAACCTATTGCAATGTGGCTGCTGGTCAAACACTTTGGAGTCCGAGTGCTCTGAATTGGCCCACAGGTGCACACACACAACCTTTGGGTTCAAGATTCTTGCAAATGGTGCATTTCTGCTGGTTGATGCAAGCACCACACGCCGCAGGGCAACCAATGCACGTCTCCTGGGCAGGTAGCAAAGCTCAACAACAAACCCCGAGCTATGTTCAATTGACTGGAAGGACTCCGCAAAGTATTTTGGGGGTGCACTGTTATGGAACTAAACCGGTCTACGAAACTAAACCGGTCTACGATCTGTTATACTCATGACTTGCTTCCGCCAATGCTTGCGCGGCGCTTACGCGACCTGCGTTTTGGCTTCCGCGGGCCCTGTTTGTTTTGAAATCCTCTTCCGACGTATTTCTCCCAAGTGCTCATTTACTGTATATAGATCAATCTCCTTGTAGTAGGTGCAAATTATTGTCAAGAAGATAACATATGCACTTCGGCAATGCTTCAGCGGTGGTGAATTTTACCATATACTTCCGCGGTGACTTCCGCAAGCTTCCACCACTGCAGTTTTGGCGTCCGCGTGCAAGTTGGAATCTGCAAGTTTGTTTAAACTGTTCCTTAGAGGTTTTTGACGCTGCTCAAATGTCTCTCGCCTTTGGCTGTGAACGTGGTAGATCTCTGACATGGACTTAGGTGTTGGAGGGAACTCGAGGGATGACTTCAAGCAAATCCGCCGGAGCGCAACCTCTTGCACTTGTGTTTTGGCAAGGTGATGTGTTGATTCTATCTATCTATCTATCTATCTATGTGTTTTTTTGGATCTATATTGCAGACATGCTGTGTTATTTTGTGTTTTATCATTCACAAAGAATGCGTTGTGCTCATGCATCAAAAGAAATTCCCACTAACAAGTTGCACAACTGCAAAAACCGGTCCGTGTGAGGATCTGTGTACTTCCCAGCCGGGCAGGTGCTGACACACTCGGAGTCTTGAAGGAGGAAGCCTTGGACATCTAAACTGAAGTTCAGCAAAGCACTCAGCAAAAAGGTCGCTTGATTCAGTAGGTCTATGCAAAAGAAACGTCGAAAAAATAAACAACTATTTAACAAAAAAACATGTTTGTTGGTTCTGTCTGGTGCCCAGGCACCAGCTTCACAGGTCAACGGCCGGGCCATATTGTCCTCAGGCATACCACAAACAAGTGGATCAAAACATGAGAACCATGAAAACCAGGAGGAAAAGGTATCTCCACAGAGAGCATGGAGGAATATTCGGAGATTTGTTGATTTCTACAAACATATGTTTCTTTTCCGCAAGTTGAAACTGGACGAACTCCTGCCCAAGTTCACAGGTGGCGCTGCCCTGTGTGCAAAGTTCGCAAGTGCCATTGATGCCATCCTTGCCCTGTTTGGCAAAGAAACCTTAAACAAATCACAAAAAAATAATCCAATCACTGACGATAACAAACTAACCTGGCTGAACCGACGCCACGGCACCATTGGGGCAAGATGACAAGCATGTGCCGTTGTTGAGAAATTTTTCGTTCCTCAAGTTCACTAATCTTTGCTCGTCACGCAAATCAAACCAAAACAGTCGAGGTATGTCAACGAGTGTGTGTGTGTGTGTGTGTCTGTGTGTGTGTGTGTTTTCGTCTGCCGTGGCTGACTCAGCGGACAAAGCCTCTCTCAACATCTATGGAATTTATGCGGCCAAGCATCTCGCATACCAAGCATTTTTGTTCGTTCAAGCATTCCCGACAGTCTCCAATGCACTTCGCACACGTACCTCCAATCCTAAGCTCGGACAAAAGGCCTAGTTGCGAGTTGAGCAGTGTTCAGTTTCAGTTTCAGTCGTAAATTTCTGCTTGGGTGACCCAGGACAAACATGAAGGCCCCTGCCCTGGAGTCGCAAAGCGACCATCCTCCTCAAAACCTCCCGTTGACAAACATCATGCCTCATAACATCTTCAGCACCCCCTTCTGGCCCCCCCCAAAAAAATACACCTGCATAGACCCCAGATTGTGGGCAACACGCCAGTGCCTTCTTTTTTAATCGATGTAGACATGATCTGGCAACAGCACCCTACAGCGACACCGGCATCCAAGCTCCAACGACAACACCGCCATACATATCTGGCACCGGCATCCTGCAACCACACCCAGCACCCAAGCTCCAAAGAGCACACACATGCCATAGACATCTGGCAGCAACACCCTGCAGCGGCACCAATGTGCAGGTTCCAAAGCGCACGCCGTCATACACATCTGGCAGCGGCAGCCCTGCAGCAGCACCAATTTTTCTGCTGCCAAGGCACGCGCAACACCATCACAGACCACCGAAAGGTAGAGGCATACCAATTGTAAAGCGGCTCGCGGGGAGAGTGCCCGTTTGGCGCCCGCTCTTTACCATTGTGAAAAGAATGGAAAACACCTATAGTTCAAAAATTACGCCAGCATAGACCCAGATAGCTAGGCAGAATCCCACGACCTGTTGACATGCGACTGGCTGGAACAAGAATGCACGCAGCCTGCACAGCCAGCATACGGCACCTCCACAGCGCGCACAACCAGCTGACACCAGCGCCGGCGCGCTCTGCCAGCTGACAACACCGGCAGCGGCGCCAGCGCCCGACCAGCGCCGCCGCCCGTCTTAAACGCGCGCTCAGCCAGCTCACAGCACCAACACCCAGGACCACAACACCAGCACCAGCACCGACACCCTTTCGAAAGCGCGCGCAGCCAGCTCATTCTTTTTTGCAGTAAGAACCGCATAGCTTTCCCTATTTGGGGGATTACAACGTGTGATCTTGCGCGTATAAGTTTACGCGCGCAAAAGCACGCGCGCGCGGAAACGGCAAAGCCCGTAAGCATCATTGGCCCAAGGCCAAGCAGTATCCAGCGCCACTATTGCCTTTGTAGCATGCTTGAAGCAACGATCTGTAGAACAATAAGGCCATATGATCTTGCGCGTTTAAGTTTATGCGCGCAAAAGTATGCGCGCAAACGGCAAGGCCCGTAGGCTTCACTCGCCCAACGCCAAGCAGTATCCAGCACGACTATTGCGTGTGTGCAGCATGCTGAAACACGCTGAAACAATAATCGGTTGAGAGCCTGACGATGCGACGCGCAAAAGCATGCGCGCAAACAGTACAGCCCTTGACACAGCTGTCGCGCCCACTACCCAGCGCCCAGCACCAGCGCCCGCCACCCTGTCTCCACCACGTGTGCAGCCACGCACCCTGGTTCAGGTAAACTGGTTGAGGGAGGGGGACCACAGTGTCCATCACGAAAAGCAGCGCAAAAATCAAGGAACAACCGTCTATTTTCCGCGCTGACAGTACGTAGGTACGCCTGCCCTCGCATATATTCACGGTCACACTTTGCGTGAAGGCGAGCGTTGAAATCACCTAAAACATACTTGACATGAGCACTGGGAAACTTGTTGTAATTGACTTCGAGTTGATGGTAAAAGCTCTCCTTTTCAATGGAGGTTGCTCCACTTTGCGGCGCATAAGCCTAAGCGTTGATAATGTGAAGGGGGGCCGCAGAGTTGATAGAGATAGACGCAAGTGCAATTAACTTGTTCGAAGTCTGTCACACAGCTTGGACCATGGAAGCAGGACAATTGATTGCAACTCAACGGTATTCCCCCATCGATGTTTCTTTGTAAGTCTGCATGAGCTTCTCGCGCTTTTCCTAAACCTTGGGCTCCTGCACTAATTGCATTTCTCAAGGCTTCTGCTCGTTTACGCAGTTCATCAATGATGTCAGAAGAGTACACGAAAGTACAGCCTTTAATGACTTCAATACTGTTGGCGTTGACGTGAGACTCTTGCAGGAAGAGCATGTCAATCTTGTTATCTTTCTTGGCGTGGATGAGTAGGTGCTGCTTGGTGTCATCACCTTTGGCTATCAAGCCTTTGCAGTTTAACGTAGCGATGCGAAGAGTTTCGTGGCGCGGCATTTTTGGCGTCGAGGTGAATCTAGAATACTTACCTTTGTATGGCGCAGTCTTGTATTTACGAAAAAGCCATCGAAGTGCCTTGTAGGCGCTGGATTTGCGTATGGTAGTGGGGGGTTCCCGAGCCCCGTGTTTAAGCGTTGCACGTGGGGCTAGCTGTTCGCAATGCATGGACGCTTCTTTTTTGAAAGACCTGTTGCCGATTCTTCCTTGTTCTGTTGGTTGATTGCCTCAGTCAATTCAAGGTAGCTGTGGGTGATCTCAACCCTCTCTTTTGCGCAGCTTTTTTTTTGCGATCATATTTGGGAAGCGTCTGAAGGAAACACTTCGGCTCCGCAGAGGCGAGCCCCGCGGCTGTTCCGGCCCGCCTTGCCAAGCTGAAGGCGTCCTATGTTTGGACTTCCGTTGTCCGGAAAATTTGGTGATACGTGGCTTCTGTACTAGCGAATTGACGGGTAATAACGACGGCCCCACGAGGGGGAGATCCTTCCTTTGTCAATCCTCGTCCATGTCATCCTCGTGCTCCGAGCGGCGCTTCCTTGACATAGATCTTGACATTGCTTCGGTCTTCTTTTTTGCGCGACGAATTTCGTACGGCTTGCTTCGTCAGCGCGCGCGGCTTGCTTCGTGTCCATGGAGCCCTTCCCCTTTTTCTCTGCACCTTCCTCTTCCTCCTTTTTAGCGTTGTAATTCACCCATTGTTCCTCAGTGAAGACAAAGAGGTCAGTGGCGACGACGACGGTCGTAACGGGCTTCTGCGCCCTCTGTCAAAGTCTACGTAGATGAGGGTGTCTGGGCCATGGATTGCGTTCTTCCATTTAATGGAGAGCGCTGACACATCCTTGAAGAAAAGGCTGTCGCGACGGGCGCTGAGCGCTTCCATGCAAACCTTGAGAGGGATACCCTTGATCCGACAAATGTTTCCTATTTGCATGCGTTGTCGGAGTACATGTTTTTATCCCAGGTACGGCCTGCTTGGTCCCAATAGTCAGGAGCGCGAGGAGAGAAGGTCTTCCGCCGCCAGCTTGGAACTTGTCTTTGGCCCATTTGGATTTGAATGAAACAATGCTCACGTAGCTCAGCATGTCTTCCCTGGTATGGTGGCTCATCATGCGAAGTTCTTTGAAGGTGCCTGCTTGCACGATCATCCAGCTTAGGATTCGTTCTCTGCCCGTCTCGTTCCGTAGGCCAGCCTGAAACGACAATCTCTATTGCAGCTTCCTTGTTTCGTTGGGCTTCAACCTGTTGCGTCAAGAAAGCAGAAGGTTTCCGGCGTCTGGCCACGCTGTCCATGATGTACTTGGTCTCATCCAGTTGGTGGCGCGCTGCAATAGTCGTACCGGCTCTGAGGAGGCATTGGTGGCTAAGTCTTCTTGTCTCACTTTGCGTTGATCGTCCATGTCCCGATGTTCAAGTCGCTTGTCGTCCATCTCAATTTCTTTGAGCGGGGACCTTTGGTATGCTGGTGCATCCTCTCCATAATTTTGTCTTGGCCTTTGTGGAGCGCTGGCATCTAAGGCGCATGTCTTGTCTGCTTTGGCCCGTTTCTTCTCTTTTTTCGATTTTTGTCCTTCTTGTCATCCCTTTCCTCTGAATCATTCTCTTTTGATTTAGCCATGGCAGGTTTTGCGGCATTGTTCAAACACGTCGAGCGGGGGGGGAATAAAGAACTAACACCTTTCCCTTGTGCCTAAAAAGAAGACATCACCAACCCCAAAAGTATCTTGCAAAGAAGCTTCGACCTCCTGCGCCTCCCCCCAAAGGCCCTAGTAATCACTTCCTTCGCAAAACAAACTCACAAGGTAATCATTGATCTGCACGCAAATCATTACACAAATTAAACCCAGAATCAACACTCCGTCCACGCCAGTGACCTTTGAATGCCTCGTCCAATGCGCAAAATGCAGGTGGCAGTGCCAATAAACTGCTAGCGAACCCTGTGTGGATGAGAAGCTGTCCTCCTGAAATAACCATCTGGGCAAGTGCTTACACAGGTCCCGTTGTCAGCAAGGTACCTTGAATGAATCAGGTAGCTGCAAAAACTAATGTCTGAATAGCGCAAAAAAGAAAGCGCCAAGACACTTGTTGTCTCCACGGCAATGAGTCCCCCAAGTTGCATTGAGACAGGAGTGGAACTGGTCTGGGCACGGAACACACTCTCGGCCTGGTGAGGCCAAGCAAAGCATGAATTGCAAATCAGAACGCAATGTTGCCGATGATTCGCTACTAGTTTGTTACTGGTAGCGATGCACCTTGCGACTAGTAGCTTCTTGCTACTGCTTGGCCAAAATGATCTTCAATGTTCCATGATTTGCGCTTTGTTCCTCTAATGTCTGTGCTTTGGCAACGCGTGGAAAGTGGGCAACGACAAAGACGACCGCAGGAGACGCAGTGACCATGTGGCTTCTCTTGTGAATTGCCCTTCTGCGCTCCTGTCTTTCCAAGCCAACACACAAGCTCTAACATCTGTGTGCGCCGGGGCCGCTTTCAGTACTGTCACTGTTCTCCTATTTACCACAACACCTATTTCCCTCACACCTTCACGATTGTCCGACTTGCACAAAGCCCTCTCGTCAAACTACATTGGCATAGGCTCCAGATACTAGGTAGCTCTAAAAGCACAGGCAAACAAGAAGGGAGACCCTTTCCACAAGTTGTTGCGCGCAGAAACAAATTGGCTAAGGCTGTGGCGAAACCCTCGTTGGGGAGACAAGTAAGGAGACAAGGCAGCAATGGCAAACAAAATGCCTATCGGGGAGACAAGGCAGCAGCGGCAGTTGTGAACCAAAACGCTGAGAAGTAAGAACCCCTATAGTTTTTCAGCTATCTGGCGGAAAAATTGCCAAGCAAACAAGTAGGGAAACAGGCGGTTGATTGATAGACAATATCAATCACACCACACCATGCGGCACTGAGGGACAGGAGAAAAACAATATGAACAACGTTATCCCACATGATTGACAGCAGCTTGCGGCAAAGGGCACTGGAGTGAGATTTCAGCAATGTCTGCGCTCCAACCAATATCATTGTGAACAAATAGAGTCGAGGTTGTTTCGATCTGATTCTATTGCAGTCTTGTTAACTGTTAATGGTATTAAAGATACTTTTCGCCACGATTCAAGCGCAGAAGTGCAGAACCAACTTTTGCGGAATGTTCTAATTGGAGACAAGGAAAAAAGCCTGCAGCTGACACAGCATCGCCAGAACCCAATTGTCCTAAAATATTCATGTCATTTGCATGTTGCTTCTGTTGCAAAAACACTGTTGTTGGATAGCGCTGATGGAACCCAGCCATTCACGTTGAGATACCTGCGCTGGAGGTGTTGTGCTTAGGCCTGACTGGGATCGCTTGGACCGTGAACCGGATGGCTACTTGCTTTGTTTGCTTGGATTGTTTACGGTAATCTGTATGTGCGGATCTTTTGGCGCTGAAAAGCGGGCCTTCGGTACACATGTCACGTGTGTGTCATCCTTGCGCAGGGACATGAGTGCTTTCTGTCATGTTACGCGCTCTCCCTTTGGCTCTGCGAGTCTTTGACTGCATAGCCTCATAGTCTAGGAATGGGAATAGGTTCTGCATCACTTCATACAGCTTTCCCGCCATGTGGCCATTCCCACTCCTCACGTAGTGGTGCCAGTTGGCCTCCACTGAAATCAGATCTTCCATTGCTCGAAGCACAGCTCGGGTTCGCATCCTATTGTAAAACTCAAACTCTGAAGGCGTCAGCTGTACAGGATCCGGCTCCCAGGGCTCCATTCGCCTGACCGTGAAGATCTGCGTCGCTCTCAGAACTCACAGCGCTGCCAAGCCGTTCGACCCTGTCCTGACTCCCTTCTACCAAATTCATCGGCTGATCTGGTACTTCACCTTCTCCCTCATTCTCATTTGTTCCACCTGTCTCCATCTCTACATCCTCATAGGCAGGTGAGTCCTCCACGTCTCTTGCTTCCAGGTGTCGTGCGGGAACTTGAATGCGTCGTCATCATCCAGTCGCACGATGCCCATCAGTTCTCCTTCTTGTGTCTCATCATTTTCTTCATCTGCCTCGAGGTTTTCTGCCTCCATGTTGTCATCCATTTGGTTTGACTCCTGGTCCTCCATCTCTGCAGGCGCTAGACGATCTCCTGGCTGCTGCGGGTGTCGTTGTCGCAACTCCCAACCACCACCATGTTCTGGCGGTCGTCAAGGCAGCTCGCTGTAGCTTGCCCCGGACGTTTCCTCCTCAAGATCGTCCAGTGGATTTGTTGTCTCACTCCATCTCGGATTCGGTTCCTTTCCTCGATGAAATGCATGTACTTGCGCTCTTCCTTTTTTCAGGGTTGGAAGCTCCACACAGCTCCGAGTTGTTGGAGAGGGCACCACGACTTCAGGATGCTCAGGGAGAACGGGTCCCAATCAAGGGGTACAAGAATGGCAGCTTTGTCTTCAGGGCTGAGGCTGGCAGAACAGTTCTCATCAGGGAGAAAGCGCATTTCGCTGAAAAAATCTCACAACCCATCATCTCCTATGGCAAGTTGATGGAGAGTGGATGGGGAATTGACGGATGTGATCATGCCCTGGTCTTGGAACAGGGCGAGAAGGAGAAGTCCGCATACCGCTGAGGCTGCAGGCTGCAGAACAAAAGTTTGGTGGCTGACTGTCGTGTACGTGTCATTGGGGCTGAAGCTCATATGGAGGAGGGCCTGAATGAAGGCACGGCTTTTGGGCGACTTGGGGAAGAAGGCCAAGTTCCAGAGTGGTTGGAAGCAAGATGGAGAAATGTGGATGGGGGTGCACTTGGGCAAGAAGTACCAGAGTCCCCAATCGATGGGAGCAACCTCTGCGACTATACCATGGAAGAGAACCGCTTTGATGAAGAGTGGGCAGCAATGGCTATGGAGATGTGTGAGGATTTGCTCTCGATGAGGAACCAGGGAGAACCACTGCATGGAAGGAAAACATCTTGGTGATGACCATACTCACCAAGGAAGGCATGACGACTGAGCAAATGGGCTTTGAGGTCGATGCAGAGATCAAGCAGCCAGCGGAGGCTCTTGAAGTCAGGGACTATGAGATTCCTTTAGATGAGCCCAGTCAACCGGAAGTACCTGATGAGGGTGTGAGAGAAAGGCAGGCAGAGGAAGCAGAACAAGAGGGAAGACTGGTGGTATAGGCCAGCAGCTTCCAGAGAGCATCATTGTCAACGAGGTTGAGTTGAGGCCTACTTCACGGCTACGAGAGTTGCGAGCTGCTTGCAACTTCTTCAAGATCAGCCAGGGAGCAGGATGAAGTGCTTTCAACGGCTGGTCAGCCATCTGCGCGAGGCCGAACTGAAGGCGGCGGCTGAAGCAGCGCGGCATGGACGCAAGAAGCTCGGGCGCCGAGGGGTCAAAACCTCATCGCAGTGCCAGGCCCAGAAGAGCAGGAGAGACATTGCCTGACGCATATACGCCCTACGCACCATGGTAGGCATGCCTGGTTCATCGAGGATCCCCATCATCAGCCTCGACTTCTGCTACACGAAGGCTGGAGCAGTGGACAGACCCACAACCTTTCGACCCTGCAGAGATGGAACGTGAGGAGGTGGTGGACCTCTTCGGCGAGGGAGAGCAGCAAGATCCTTGTGAGGGAGAACAGCCGCCACTAACTCAGCAATGTGGCTCATGCTGGTGTGCTCTCAGACAGGAGCTCTGGGAGCTGTTCCCCTACAAGGAAAGGATCAAGCTCATTTGATGGCCAGAGAAGTGTGATGACCTTCAGGGTCTGGGACACACTGAAGTGGGCATCTACAGCGACAATGAACCCACTTTGAGGGCTTTGCTGAGAATCATCCTCAACAGCAGGCATGCTATGGGCTTGAGCACCAGGATCTACACTACGAAGGTGAAGGACTCAGCTGAAAACTCCTTAGCAGAGTGCAATCCAGCGGGCGAGAGGCCTAGCGTGTACAATGATGGAGGATTTGATGAGCCGCGCTGGATTGAAGCTGAACACGAACCATGGTCTATGGAGTTGGGCGGCGAGGCACGCCTGCTGGACACGCAACAGGTACCAAGCTTAAGCCCGATGAGGGAGTCTTAGTTCCTTTTGGATGCCCGGTCTATGCATACAGCAAACCCCAATCTGGCAAAGGAAATCCCAAGTGGAGGCTGGCACTCTTTCTGGGCAAGACAGAAGCGCAAGATGCTAACATTGTTGGCGATGGCACTCAGGCGATGTTGACTCGCTCAGTGAGGAGACTAAACAGACCTTGGAGCAAGTACCTGGCCTACTACTCGAACTTTGTCACGCAGAGCTGGGGGTACCAGGTGAACTTTGGAGGAAGAGTGGTTCCATCCAAGCGAGCAGAAGGACCATTACCAATCCAAGTACCCATGAAAGCTTTGCCAGATGGAGTCTCGACAAGAAGCACTACTAGAGCTAGCTGGAGTTGTGGAGCTACCCCCATTCAAGGAAGTTGGTGAGCCGGCTCCAAGGGCGCCGCAAAGACAAGAGCCAAGACAAGGATTGCAGACGCCGCCAGCTCCTGAAGATCAGTCTGTTGACGAGGGCCCTGGAAGAGTCGAATCTCTGGTGGTTGATGCACTACCATGGGATGACGAGGAGCCAACAGGACGAGTCCTGAAGAAGACACCGCCACCAGCTACCGCTTTGAAGGTGGAGCCGCACAAGAAAGCTAGGCTAGAGGAGGAAACGGCGAAGAGGCCAAGGAAGGGAGAGCCTGCGAGAGAGTCGGGAGGAGCTTCATCCTCAAGGAGACACACCTACATGGACCTGGTGGAACGCCGCGTTGAGAAGGTCCAGGTGGGAGAAGATGAAATGCATCACCTGGATGAGGTCATTGATGTGGAGACCGTCAAGGAGGATGTGGATCAATTTGACACTTGGGACAAAAAGAGAAGCCAATCCCAGATGGTGTGTGGAGTGATGAGCATTGAACAGAACACCACCACAACCATCGTGGGAGGTGGAACTCCTTGCTGACGAGGTGGAGGAGAAGAGGTTGGAGAAGATGGGCGTGATTGAGGACCTGGACGTGAGTGGACTTGGTCTCGACAAGCTCAATAGCAAGATACAAACCGGGACAAAAAGAAAAATCTGGAAACAGCTGCTGTTTTCAACACATCGACCATCTCTTCCTTGGACACCATCATCACATAGCCGGGACAACATCACAAAATGACCA